AACAAACCCTGGAGGTAAAAGATTAGCTGTTTGATCAGCTTCTCCTAGTTGTGTAATGTGCATACTGCAGTAGGTAAAACACTGGAAGTGTCCTCCCAATAACAAGCTTACAAAGCCTCTTCTGCTGCCTCAAGGCCCAAAAGGTCATGAAATAACGCAAATTATAAAATAATCTGGGTTGGAAGGGACCTTTCCAGGCCATCTAGTCCAACCCCCCTGCAGGAAGCAGGGAAATCTGCAACTAGAGCAGGTTGCTCAGAGCCCCGGCCAACCTCACCTGGAATGGTTCTAGATGTGGGGCAGTGACCACCTCTCTGGGCAACGAGGACTAGGGGCTTACCACCCTCACTGTAAAAAATTTCTTCCTTCTATCTGGTCTAAATCTCCCTCTTTTAGTTTAAAACCATCACTCCTCGTCACATTGCAAGAGGCCCTGCTAGACACACAAGTCAAACCGCATCCGCTCTGAAACATTTAATGCAAGAAGCCCTCACACTGTGGCCTGGTGGGAACTGGCTCTGCTGGTGTCCCCTCGGGATGGCTGCACTCCTCTGGGTCACTGCTTCACCTTCTGCTTCACACCATGCAAGTTACTGAGAAAAACGTCACAGCAGGTCTGAGGAGCTGGGGCAGTGGCTGTGCCAGAGGCGGTTCGTGCTGGAAAAAAAGTCGTCTCACATACAGCCACACTAATACAAACTATTGCTCTGATTAAGATTTTGAGATAAAACTTTCAAGTACTCACTTTCCCTTTGGTTTTACACCTCCTTGTATTTCATCAGACACAAGCTTTTAAATGATTAGTACAGAAAAAAAAACAGACACAGAATGTGGCATTTGGTGAAGGGTTATTCTGGGGCCTTGGGAAAGTCGGTGTGTTCTCACAGCAGCCTGAGCCCCTGCTGCTCCTCGGACAGCTCTGAGCGCCTCGGGGCTTTTGGAGCCTGGCTTGTGCTTTCATCAGTGCACACAGGCTTCCAAGGCAGCGAGAATCAGTGAGGCTGGTGAGGAAAACCCCAAATCTACAGGGGGTAACTTGGGAATGGCAGTGTTCATAGAAGGCTCTCAAGAACAGCAACTATGAGAAGTTCAAAATGAAATTTTCAGTGGAATAGTACGCTTATTGGCACAAGGTTTAAACACCAGGCCAGCTTGGATGGGGCTCTGAGCAACCTGCTCTAGTGGGAGGTGTCCCTGCCCAGGGCAGGGGGGTTGTAACAAGATAGTCTTTAAGGTCCCTTACAGCCCAAACCCTTCTGTGATTCTATGATCAGATACTGATAACCAGTGAGAATTCTCACATCCATCCCCAGCTTGCTAGCAACAATTTAGACTGATTTCCTAAAGATCAACATATTATGTTGCAAACTGATTTTGTGGCAATTCTTCAATGACTTTAACCATGTAGGGACTTTTGAGTAATATTCTATTGCACAAGTCAATCCTCACAACACACAATTAATAGGGAATTTCTTTAAGGCACAGATTTTATATTTACTCCCTGTAGACATTTTTTTCCTATCCTTCTTCCAGGTTCAATGTAAAATTCAAAAGTGCCAAACCACACAATGCTCTTGTATCACAAACAAGTCTGCATGGCCCATATCCTGACTGAAGTCACTAGCAGGAGGCAAAGCTGTATGTTCTGGGTTTGTATTTTGATTTAACTTATTTATACAGTGGTGCTAAAGTGTTTCCTCACCACTGCTCGGTATCTACTAGTCGGTTGTACTCATCAGCTATTTTATGGCTGCATGCCAATAACCAATAATATAATTTCAGGCCACTTCTTAATAAAAGTATTCAAAAACTACTATGTATGTTCACTTAGCCAACAGGTGAAAAGTTAAGGAACCAGAATATGGGTGGTCTTTGGAGGAAGATCAGGTCAATCTCAAGAACATAGGGAAATGGTTCTGTGATCAAATGATTTCATTAACAGCACCCTTTTGCAAGCAGTCAATTTGTTTAAACCCTGAACTAATGAACTGTCCTTGCATTTTAGACTGTCAGCACACAAATGCTTTGTCACGTTAAGCCCACACTCAGTCGAGTGTAATTTGATTCAGCAGGGAGGAGTGTCCCTGCTTTGGCTGCAGCACCAGCAGCAGCACTTCAGCAGGTTGAGTGGAAGACCCCCCCAACTCTGACACCCTGAGCAGCCAGGGCGTTGTACTCTTCCACGGCCTTCTCCGTCTGCAGGACCCTCACATCAATCCCGTTCTTCTTCAGGTAGTCCACAGTCGATGGTGGAACCTCAGGAAAGAAAGGCAGGTGGGAAGAGCAAGTGTTAGATTGTTTTGCCCTTGTGCTGTAAGGCTTCAAGAACAGGCACTGATGCCATCTGTTAGCACATGCACTGAAGTAACTGATAGTAGCCAAACTGATGATATGATCAGATATTTCTAACATTAATTTTTTCTATTCAGTAAAGCTACTTTTATATACACATCTCCCATCTCTCCTTAACAGAGTTTAAAATGCAGCCTATCTTATAAAAATAAACAGACTTGGAGCTAAAGGCAATTAATCTCTGTGAGGAGTTACCTCACCAGAAAGCTAAAGACTTGCTTCTCATGAAGGAAATCCCAGCACTTCTGCACTGTCTGCAGCCCATTTGTCCCTGTAGTGGGACATAAACCTGCCCACTGCTTGACACAGATGCTAACACAGAGGAGCTGAGAGGATGTTTCTTTCAGGAAGAGAGGCACTCCTGGCAGGAGCTCAGTCCTGCTAATTCAACATCCTGATTTTTTTCCCAATTTTAGTAAAGCATCACAGATGATTTTTTTTCCCCTGATCAGAGATGGAGGGAAAACAAACAGTTCTAGTTTCTGCTTCCCACGGAGCAAAACCCTACCTGCAAAGCCTCGCTCATGCCCCGGCCGATCACCACCGTCTTAGCACCCTTCTTCACCACTTCCTCAAGGTCAGCTGGCTGCACTCCTGGAGAATGCTGAGTGTCAGGGGAGGAAAAGAACACTCTGTGTGCTGACAGTGACTGCAGGAAAGCTCCGTCTGCGTGCTCTGACATTGCCCACGGCGCAGCGGCCTCACTCGGCAGTGCCAAAAGGCAGCACAACCCCCTCCCCGCATACGCGCGGCGCATAGGGCACCGGGGATCAGCTACACGCAGGTGAAGGGTGATAGGTTATCCATTGATGGCAGTATTACCATTCTTTATTAAAGAGGTAAAAAGTTGCATTACACATTTCTAAAACACTTATGTCTAACAACTAGCATTGCATAAACAGTGAAAGTTAAGGTGAAATAAGTAAATTGCACCATATTGCTGTTTGTTTTCAAATAATCAAAACCTTTTTGTAATACTGTGACAAGCCAAAGTTTACTCACTTTAATTACAAAGGGCTACTCAAATAATTACAGTGATTAAGTTCTTTTGTTGCTTGCATTCCAAGTCCCATTTACCAAAAAGGACTGAAACCTACTGGTTAGCTTCATCTCAGTTACCAGTTTCAATCTGCACTATCCTTAATTTTGAGAAAGGAATATTTGAAACCAAACTCCTCAAAGGAGACAAGAGCCTTAACAGCACGTTGATGGAGTTTTTAAAGTGGACCCATTTCCTATCAGTAGACTTTAACTGAAGGAATCCACAGAGGCACCTGTAACACATAATATAAAACATTATTATGTCACACTCATGTTAATTCTAAACTAATTCTCCTCCTGGAAAAAAACCTTCCATGGTAGAGTGCCACTTCCAATGAGTGGATTAAGCTTATCCCACCAGAAAGGCTTTAGCCTGGCTGGTATCTGGAATTTCAGCAACAGAGATGGTTCATCAAGTTCATAGAACCATAAAGTATCTCAAGTTGGAAGGGACCCATAAGGATCATCAAGTCCAACTCCCTGCTCCTCGCAGGACTACCTAAAACTAAACCCCCATGACTAAGAGCATCTCTGAACTCTGACAGGCCTGGTGCCATGACCACTTCCCTGAGGGGCCTGTTCCAGTGACCAACCAAGCTCTCCATGAAAAGCCTTTTCCTAGTGTCTGAACTTCCTCTTCCAGCTTCACTCCATCTCATGTCTGGTCACTGGCTGCCAGAGAGAGACCAGCACCTTCCCCTCCACCGCCCCCAGAAGAAAGTTGTAGACTGTAATGAGGTCAACCCTCAGTGGTGAGGTCACCCCTCTGCCTTCTCTTCCCCAAGCTGAATAAAGCAAGAGATCTTAGCCAGTCCTCGTAACTCTTGCCCTTGATACCTTCCAGCACCTTGGCCACCCTCCTCTGGACATGCTCTAGTAGTCTGGTGCCCCTCTTTATCGAGGCACACGGTACCAGAGGTGGGGCTGCACCAGCGCGATGTGGAGCAGGACAACGGCCACTCAACCACCACAGGGCAGCTGTGCTGTGCTGGATGGACCTGAAGCTTTTACCTGTCACCTGAAGACATACCTGGTTAGAAACTTTGAATGGAAAACACGCCTTCCTAAACACCACTAAGTGGTTATGATTTGGAACCCAAGTTTTTGAGTGCTTGGAATGAATATGAAAATGGAATTGAGCTGGGAACCAGTCGGGAAGTTCTCAGCTACCAAATCTGTTCTGCTTCTCTGGTCAGACGTGCATATAAACCAGGAAAACAATGCTGTCAAATGAACAAAGAGCAACTCACCACACAATGCCCCTCTGACCAGCCAGTGAAAAACACTTTTTATCATCAGCCCATGAACAGATTACCTTTAACAAGTTTACATACAGAGCTGTCCTCCCTGTGAGGCACAGATAGCTTTACAGGACAGCACGACCTCTCTCTTGGAGTCACATACTCTATAAGCTGAACTCCGACAGCTGAAAAAGTTCTATACCCCCAAAGACTATGGATGAAGTTGAAAAGCCAAAGGTTCTGCCCTTGAGTTGTGTCAAAACAAACTCAACAGAGCTGCATCCTCTGAGCTGCAGCTGTTGGGTCTAAGACCTGCTAAGTACATGGTTCTTTTGTCTTTTAATTTTTGCCTAGAAAGCCTGGAATTTTTTTTCTAGCCAATACAGCTACGCTAGTGCAAGCCCTAATACAGGGAGAACTATCATCAGGTTCCTTACTCAACGGATGTTATGCTGCTTCTAAATCTGGAGTGCCAATGCTGATCCATGTCCTTTTGTGCAGTTCTGATAGCATTTACAGGTGCAGTTTAAAAACTGCAAGCGCAAACCCCTGGTATACGGCTAGCAAGAAAAGTCACTGTGTGGTTAGTCAGGCTGCGAGCTCTTCACGGAGAAACTAGTGCCCAGGGCGCTGCATCTGCCTCTTCTCTCTGAAGTGAGTACATGGGACTCCAAGGGAAAGTCTATACACTAAACCATGTGCATTGTTGGCTTCCAAACACTTAAGTTACTGTCAGTTTCTTTTAACTTCCCATATTTTTTTTCCTATCTCATAGAATCATAAAGGTTGGGAAAGACCTCTAAGATCATCAAGTCCAACCATCAACCCAACACTACCATGACCATCAAACCATGTCCCCAAGTGCCACCTCTACAGTTTTTTTGAACCCCTCCAGGGCTGGGGACTCCACCACCTCTCTGGGCAGCCTGGGCCAAGGCCTCACCACTCTCGCAGGAAAAGAAATTCTTCCTAGTATCCAGCTGAAACCTCCTCCGGGGCAACATCAGCCCATTGCCCCTCATCCTGTCACTGGCTCCTTGGGAGAAGAGACCAACCTCCACGCCACTACAACCTCCTTTCAGGTAGCTATAGGGAGGAGGAAGGTCTCCCCTGAGCCTCCTCTTCTCCAGGCTCAACACCCCCAGGTCCCTCAGCCGCTCCTCACAAACCATGTTCCCCAGAGCCCTCCTCAGCTTTGTTGCCCTTCTCTTACTCAAGACAACTTTTGTTTACAGCCTGGTAAAAGGTTCTTATCAGCACCTTCTAACAACTGCAGTCCTACTCAAACACAGAACGCTGTTTGAGAGCTGTGTGGTGTGAGAGAGTAGTCTGGCCAGGGTGTCTGTGAGTAACAGTCACTACACCCTGTCTCCAGCAGGACGCTGTGTCCACAGCCCTCTGGCTTCTTCGCACGGTCACTTCTGAAGCACATGCTCCATTTTTCCCAGGAAAAGTCTGGTTAGATGAAAGCAAAAGGCAGCTCATGGAATTCTTGGCTGCAACTTTAACAGCTGTTCTCTGGACCATTCTCAGAGCCCCATTTAAAATGCAGGATGGATAGGAAACAGCAAACTTACGTTAGTCCCAGTTTCTCTCCAGTCCCAGGTGCGGCTTCCTCCTGGCCACACTTTGCAGTCCTTATACACTGTCGAGCAGCCTTTCACCTTCATCTGGCCCCAAGAAAGGGAAGCAATTTCAGGGGAAGACATCACAAAGGTGAACCAAAGCCTAGAAAAAGGACAGTCAATAAATGACACCAGGCTAACATACGCAGCACGTTAATAAAACCAGAAAATCCTGTCTTTAACCCAAGAAGCTGGGAAGGAAATGTTGTTACAGACTTTATCCACGTGATTTTGTGACAACAGAACTGAACCGAGGATCAGCAGATTTGTTGAACTGCCACCAGTTCTCTTGGGGATTTTGTGCAGGATTTTGGGCAAATCATTCTACATGATAAATCCGTACCAGTACTGGGTGCTCAACTTTTAAAACTATCAACAGGGATCAGTCCCAGAATACCCTCTCACATCTGGGTTCTAATCTTCTCCCCAAAATGTACAATGAAGATGATAATAATTTCCTAAAATATTTGATACACTGTTCCTCTCACCACTTTATCAACTTAAAGTGGTAACTGAAGTTAAAAAAATCCCAAACAAATCAATGCAATAGAAAAGCCACGAACAAAACCACAGCATTGCCATACTGTCAAAGCAAATGAGACTTTTGAGACCCAAAGGGGCTGAGCTTTCTTCCCTAGTCACTCTGTACCGAGGCTGCGTCTCCCTGTGCAATGTCTCAGGACAGTTAGAAACCCAAATAAGAACTTTTCTAACATTTGACCTCAGTTTTCATTGTTTCAGCTTAAACACCTTATTTCTAAACCTTTCTGCGGTGGACAAGGACAGTTTAATCTTTGTCTTTTTCACCATCTTTTGTTTTCCTGAAGACTTAAGTCTTTGACTTTTTTTCCTTTCATTTAGACTAAATAAACTCCACTTCCCGTCAGTCATGTTTTCTAAATCTCGGCTTATTTTCTCCTTTTTTTACCCCTGGCAGCCAACAATTGCTACACATTTTTCTTTGACGTCTGTGGCCTAGAACTAGACAGAGTGCTCCGGCTGAGGCCTTATCAGGGCTGCTGCAGACCAACCAATTTTTGGTATTAGCCACAGCATTTTTAGATCTGTTATGACAATCACAGCTGGGCAGCAGCAGGGCAGGGGCTGCGCCTCAGAACGTGCTGCCTCACCACACCATGGAAGTTCAGGCCTCCTTCACAGCCCTTCACGCTGCTGCAGGCTGACCGCCGGCGTGGCCCCAGCCGCAGGCCCCGAGGAACCACAGGGTGACACCCTGGTGACACGCGGACTGGCGTGGCAGCCAACTGACCCTCTCGAGGCAGAGTCGCCTTTCTGCCCGTCCCAAAGTTCACAGGGAAGACGGCCTCAAATCCGCATTATGGAGAACATTGGCCGTTTCTCCAGCAAAAAGAGCTCCACTCCTGGCTGACCCAGAAAACCTCAGTGACAGATCTTCCCAGATATGCAGTTTCTCATCCTCTACTTTTTACTTCTTCTTACCACCATGTCCCAGTAGTTAAGGGGTGGTTATGAGGAAGCTGGAGACTCCCTTTTGACAAGGATCCCATAGAAAAGATGAGAGGTGATAGGGGCAAATTACTCCTGGGGACATTCCAGTTAGACACAAGAGGAAAATTTCTCACAACAAGGGCAATAAGCCATTGGAATAATCTCCCCACGGAAGTGGTGGAGTCCCCAACGTTGGACACTTCTACAATTCAGCTGGACAGGGTGTGCTGGGACATCTTGTCTGGACCGTGGATTTCCCAAGACAGGCTGAACCAGGTGAGCCTTGAGGTACCTTCCAATGTGGTGTTCTATAACTGTATAGAATTCACCAGGAAAAAAATAAAAATCAACCATAGGAACCCTGGTGACACAGATTTAAGGAAGAACCCTGACAAAAGAAAGATCTTTGGATTACCAGCCTTCTAGTCCTCCTGGAAGCCTCCCTTCCCATCTCACATGTGCTACAGTAACCCACATCATGGCCAGACAGGACACGCCCCTCTTGGACTGCCAGGCGATTTCAGTATTCCGCTTCAAACGCCACACAGAGTGAAACCAGCGCTGCTTTGGATCCAGCACAGGATTGATTCTGCCAGGGCTGCTTCTCCCACACAACAGCAGGGCTGGTCTCTCCTTCCTCGCTCCTCTTCCAAACAGGAGGCCAAGCAAGCAGCAACGGGGGAGCAAAACCTGCTTGGATTCACCTGTCCTCCATTCTTGCATTACACATCCACAATACAATGGATTCAAAGGAACCTCTATAAGACTATTTTTCCAAAAATTTGCTTGAAGGGAGACTACAGCAGAAGAAATAACCAGCAGTAATCCCAACATGATTAAATCACTCATCAACCAACAAGAAAAGGCTGAATACACCGTCCAGAACCTGGCTCTGAAGAATGAAAATGATTTTTGTGAAATAGCAGAATTAGACCTGGAGATCAGAGAGAGGTGACTGAACAATAAAATTCTTAGGAATATCAGATTTCCCAGTCCACATGGTATTACAAGGCTGAGACTGCACAATCAAACGGGCACAAACTGCAAACGGGAGAGCAAAGGTTCTGTGCTCTCCTCTCCAAATAGCACAAAAATAAGTTAACAGCAGAAACAAAACTTAAAAGGCATAAATAAAAATTTGTAATTTCCCATAATACTGTCAGAGAACATCAGTAAGGTCAGACGATTTGAATTAGTGAGAGTATCTCAAACTGAAATAAGAATGAACTTTTTAACAGGAACTTTGGACATTCTTGATGCAGGGCATGGTCCAATTGGCAATCAGCAAGGAGTAGGAAAATATTTCCCCAACAGATCATAGACTCAGAGAACGTTTGGGGTTGGAAGGGGCCTTTAAAGGTCATCTAATCTAACCCCGAGTTGGATTTTTAATTATTCATTATGACAAAGGTACAGTACCACTTAAAATCAAGTGACCATATGACTCACAAGTATGACCTACAATTGCAATTTCTGTAAATTGCAGTATTCCAAACACAAAGAGGTGAAATGGTTCAGGAATCTGTAAGCAAAGTTACAAGAGTTTAAAAACATAGGAGATACAGGAAGCAGAAGAGTTTAAAAGGAGGCAAAGGACAAGTTTATGCGAGGAGACTATACTGACAGAAATTAAGCAGTGGCTAAGGATGGCAGAGGAAAAAAATAGCTGAGAATGAAATGGAAGAAACTTGAGGCTGAAGTGACGCCAGGCAAGTAAGTGGATTTTAAACTGCCAGCACACTCATCTTCTGTGAAGATAAACATTTCAGAGTAGCACCCACCAGTAATAAGCAGAAAAGGTGAACAAGATCAGTGTACCAGAGATAATGTTACTGAGAGACTGCAGAAGGAAAGAACAATTCATAAAATCTGGGGCACAACCTGGTATCAAAGAGAAAAAAGCTGAAAGAGTAAATCAGTGCCATGTCAACTGCAGGGCAGAACAACTCCAGTAAGGTATCAAAAGACAATGTGGTTCTTCAGTGGTGCCTGGGAACAGGGTCAATAGGTGAAGGTGGGAGACTCACCTACAGCCAATGCCGTTTCAGAAGTGACAGAGCAGCTAGAAAAGCAGGCCAGGATTTAAATGCTAGCAGCAGAAAGGCAAACAGAATAAAGAAGCTAAATGAAAGGGGTAGGGAGGAGATAGAGGGCAAGTGTAAGAACTGGGAGAACACTTCTCAGAACTCAATAATCTAATTTCGCTGGGGAGCCCAATGAAGGTGTGTCACTGGGGAATGGTCACAAAGCAACCTCGTCTAGTGGGAAGTGTCCCTGCCATGGCAGGGGAGTTGGAACTAGATGATCTCTAAAGCCCCTTCCAACCCAAGCCGCTCTATGACTCCGTAAGTGGGAGAGGTCACGGAGGGCGGGTGCTGGCAAGGGAATACAACAGCATTGAGACCAATGATCGGGCGGGGAGGCGGAAAGCACAGAGAACCGAGAGGACAGTGGGGCGGGGAGTGTACAAGCGCGCAGGGGGCGGCCGGGGCAGCTCCTGAACCCTCTCAAACAAACAGGGCCTCGCGTGAGGCGGCCCAAGGCCCCACCAGCTCCCTCCCTTCCTCCCTCTGCGCCGCACCGGGCGGGAGGCGGCCGGCGC